CAATACCAATCATGATTTTTAAATGCCTCCTAGCAAACTAAGAATAAAAAATTATATTTTGATAGAAAATATGAAAACCCCAGGGCCTAGAGTATCCATTATTGTTAAAGGTGAAATAATGAAAGATTTCCTTACACATCAGGAACAACACAAGGATATAATGATTCATGTTCACTCCACCTGTTTTCAACATTGTATTGGAGATATCAGCCAGTGCAATAAAGCAAGAAAAAGAAAAAGTTACAGCACTGAAAAAGAAATGCCCAACATGTAAAATATCAGGTCTACCCCTACATATTAGTAATAGACAATGACACAGCTACTCATTGCTATTTGTTTCTCAAAATTATGGAAAAAAATTACACAACTATCTCAAGTTTATGAATTAAAAATTTAACATTGAAAGGTGCCATTTGGGCTGGCCTGATGGCTCAGCGGACTAAAGTGCCTCAGGACTGGGGTTTGATCCGTGGCATGGCATGCCATTTCCACCCATAGGGCACACTGAGACTGGGCATGGTGGTGTGCACCTGTAAGGCGTGTGCATGGGAGGCTGAAAACAGGTAGATCACTACAAGTCCAATCTGTGTAGTGAGACCCTGTAGACCCTGTACTAAATTAAGAAAAGAAAAAAAAAAGGTGCTGAGACTGGGCATGGTGGCATGCGCCTATAATCCCACAGTGTTGTTTGGGAGGCTGAAAACAGGAGGATCACTACAAGTCCAACTGACGTAGTAAGACCCTGTAGATCCTGTAGACTCTGTAACAAATATATAAAAAAAGGTGCCATTTTTCCCCACACTACACTGCAGATTAAGTAGAATCCCAATTAATATATCTGTACATTTTTTGAAAAGACTGCCACACTGATTCTAAAACTTATCTGAAAATACAAAAGACCAAGATTACCTAAGGAAATCTTGAGGAAAAAGGTGGATGACTTAAATCACCAGATCTCAAGACATACTAAGTCTACAGTGTGCTATTTTTTTAAGGTTGACAAAAAGATCAATGGAGTAAAGGAGAATTAAGAAACAGACCCTTACATATACAGTCACTTGAAGAGGAGACAAAGACGGTACTTCAGCACTGTGGGAAAAGCAGTAGCTCTAATTATGCAGGGTTAATCAGACAGCCACATTAGAGGGGAAAAAGGAATATTGCTTCTATCTCATACCATAAAATCAATTTTAGATGGAAGATAACAATTTTACAAGACAATAAGATAATGTCTTCATAAACTTGGTCTACGATCTATCTATCTATCTATCTATATATATATATATATAAAACATATATACATTATATATATAAATTTACAAAAGAGGTCCAAATGGTCCATGAACATGATCAGAGTGCTCGCTTCGGCAGCACATATACTAAAATTGGAACGATACAGAGAAGATTAGCATGGCCCCTGCGCAAGGATGACACGCAAATTCGTGAAGCGTTCCATATTTTTATAATTTGCTGAGTTTACATACCTATAAAATTCAATAACGGAACTTAGAAAAAATGGGGTATACCTATGAATGTCCATTTTGTATCTGTGTATTCAAAGTGGTTGGGATAGATATATAGTTGCATTCTCTTAATGAATAGAATGATTTGTTCTAATGGTGTTTGTAAATAGGATTACAAGTCCGCATCTTGTACAGCAATTAACCACTAAGAAGAATATATGCAGTGTATTATTTGTTGAAACTATACTTCCGATTTGATTTGAAACTGTCTCATTGCTATCTGTTTATCAATAAAACTTTGAAAAAAAAAAAAAAAAACATGATCAGAGAAGCTCTATGCATGCTGATTACTTACCAGGGAAAAGCAAATTTAAATCACACTGAACTGCCTGTCTCACTAACTAGGCACCAGGACAGTGAACATAAAAAAATGATCAATACCAGGTATAAAGATCATATGAACAACTGGCTTCTCACATGCTGTTGGTAGCAATACAACTGCCACTTCTGGCTATACCTCTTAAGGCTGAACAAATGCATATACTGTCACTCTACAGTTCCACTCTTTTGTTTAAGACAGGGTCTCTGCATAAAAAGCCCAGGAGGAGCACAAACTCACAATCCTCTTGCCTCAGCCTCCTGAGTGCTGTGCCATTACAGGCACGAGCCATCATGTATAGCTGTAGCTTCATTCTTCTTTATGACAGTTATAATACACAAGAACACTCAGGATAGAATTTATAAAAACTGCAATCAACACAAATGTTTGAGAACAGCAAAAAGAACACATTTTGTTATATCTGTATGCTGGGTTACCACACAGCAAATGAGAACAAGCACAGAACATAGGATAACACAAGTGAATCTCACAAACAATGAAACAACCAAGAAACACAATATAGCTATTATTTTACTTCACTTAATCAAGAAGAGGCAAAAATAAAAGTAAGAAATACAGACCATAGAGTTGGAGGAAAGTTACAAGAATTCCTCATTTTATTCCTGTCGGTAGGTCATTAAAAGAATTGGTTGCCAGATGAAGAATTGTATATACTATGTACATTACAATATTCAAAACAAAGAAATGGTCAAAGGAAACTCCAACTTGATGACTTTGCTTTTATTTGCCTGACTCATACAGTATATAATATATAACAGAATATAAAACTATAGTACCATCAGCAAAAAATATAGCACTATATAAACAAGGTGCACTGTATCAAAAAAAAAAAAAAGACATCAACATGCAGAACCGTACAGAAAAAAAAAAAAGGCAGGTCACAAGTTTTGAGCAGCAGGTCCTAAGTCCGAACAGTTGTTTAAACATGTAGGAATATCTGAACTGGAAACAAGCAGGAAGGCACTTCCAGTGCCCCATCTTGATCTAGGAACTGTTTCCCAAGTGTGTTGGCTCTATGGAAAGTCCACGGAGAAGTATGCTTTCTATCCGAAAATATTTCGGATATATGCTATAGCTGGATATTGAACCGAAGGTCTTCACACTGAGCTACATTCCCCACACCTGTTTCATTTTTTATTTAAGACAGCGGCTAAATTTCTCAGGCTGGGCTCTAATTCCTGATCCTCCTCCTGCCTCAGTCTCCCTAAGGGGTGGGGATTCCAGGCATAAACTTTCATACCTGGGTTTTACTTAAATTTTTTAAAGCACAGTACATTCTGACTTGGCTACCTAATATTCCAAGAGTACACAGGGCACTTACTTGACACACCTACCTGGTCACACAACTAACCAGCAAAGATGAGCCTGATTCCAGGAAAGGAAAGGGATCAAAACAAGTTTACTTCATGGTTTCTGTGTTTCTGAAACACTGCATCAGGTACTCAGGTGGTGACGAAAGCTGCTGGCATCATCACATTACACACTCAACTAAGCACTTCCATGCTGCTACACTGAGCAGCAGCCAGAAAAAAATCACTGGGCAACCATCTCACCAGCAGGTGTGACAGCACCCACTGACTGAAACCAACTGTACAAAACTCCTGTCACTTCCCTCTCATGTTCTGTGTGTTTGTTCTTCCCAAAAACTGAATACATACTATATAACTGTATTAGACAAACACTTCAGTATACATATATCTCAAATTACATTAAATCTATTATAAAAAAACAAAACCAAACTACCAAAAATTTACAAACACCTGTACATACAATAAAATCCTTAACATAAACTGCTCCCCATTACCTCCCTACACAAATAAGTTGGCCAGTTCTTTTAATCTTGTTATAATAAAATCTGACCTAAGTAAACTTTGTAATTTGTAAAAGTCCAGTGAGAAAAATCTTAATGTGGGCTGGGATGTAGGTCAGTGACGGAGCACTCGCCATGTAAGAATGAAGCCCAATTTCAACCCTCAGCTTCACAAAAACAGAACAATCAACCGCTTAATGATTCCCTAACCAACAAAAGGAACATATAGCACTAACATCAAATTATTGTTTCTAAAAAGGAAATTCAAATGCTTGGCTTATCAATCTTTCAGGAGACTTGACTAAAGCCAAGAAATACATTAGGGCTAGTAATTACTCATTTGCTAGTTTATCACTGCAGACTCATCATGACAGTATAAATGTATGCTTATTCAAGTCTACCTGAATGTACCATAAAGGCAACTATTATGAAGAAGTAAAATGGTACCCTGACAGCTTATAAACACCTAAATAGTAAGATACTTATCTTCCACTATGCTGTGCACCATTTACCTCACATTTTTCTAGTTTTATTATGTTTTCCCTTTGTATACCATTAAGTCTCCATTTAATTCCATAAGATAAGGCTTTGAAACATTGGCCTGAATGTAATATACTTACAGAAGCAACTATGGTTGTTCCAAACTTTAAAATTCTAGTCTACTAAGGAGAAAATTCCCTAAGAATCACTTTCCAGAGGCTGGGAATTAGCTCACTGGTGCAGCACCTGCCTGGCAAGCATGAGGTGGTAAGTCTGACTCCAGGTACCCTCCTCCAGAACAGAATCAATTTCCATTGTTGTATCTCTTACTACAAATGTGATTTATAACACACAGGTGTTTTGATAAAGATAGGTTGTAAAAACTTTTTTCTGTGAAATCAATCCTATTTGTTCACTAAATTGCATTAGAAACCTGGAAATCCCTGAGATATGATCTATAAGAAACACATACAATTCCTGAGATCCAAGCCATGGGAAGTCTGCATTAAGCAAGAGACTTCACACTACAGAATGAGAGGAACCATGTAGTTTTGTTGTTGCTTCATGGTCCTTTAAAAAAAAACTTCAAAGTACATTCCCAAATCGAGGCAGTTCCTCAAAGATAGGAGGAGAGTAATAAAATATTTTCATATGATGTTAGACAACACTAGTTTGTTCATCCTAAGAAGTTTAATTCCCAGGAACACTGCACGCGCTTACAAACACTAGAAGCCATCACTTTGCAAGCGGTTACACAAAATACATACATTAACAAAAGATAGTATCATTGAAAGACACTTTGGGGGGAAAAAACCCCTCTACGATTTCAGGCGAGAAACACACATACCTGTGGAAGTGCAGTATTGAGCTGTCTCTGCAAGGAGTCTCTTTCATGACCAACCTCGTGTAATTTCCCCTGGGTCAATGCCAATGTTTCCTGGGTCTCTCTCAGTGTGTCAAGAAGACGGTCCCTTTCTTCTAGCATGGAGACCATAAGCTGTTCAAAATGGGAATCTGCATCTGGCTGTGAAGGAGAGCCAGACCCATGGCTGCTGCTTCCTCCTGGGGGGCCTTCTGCTTCACTGATAGTGGGCATCACCTCGCACATCATCTTGAAACAAAAAAAGCCAGGCTAGAGTCAGTAAGTGCACAATATGGGTTCCCGAGAACTTACAACTTTATGATTATCTGTAGCTAATAAAGGAAAGTTAACAATTTCCTTATTCTCAGATCTGTTATTCTTTGTACACAAATACTCTGTGAAGAAATACACAGGCACATATTAAGTGCAGAGAGCCATAACATAAAGACATTAAAGGAGCCAACAATCCAGGGAAGCAAGGACCAAAGAGAATTACTGACTTCTCCTATAAAGAGCAAACGTTGTGTGGTTTTGTTTGCAAAACCAGACTTTTTAGTTTTGAAAAAAAAGTGTGCTTCTATTATCTTTTTTTCTATATCCCAGTAGGAGCACATGCCACCCAATCATTGTTCAGGAAAAGCACAGAAGGAGTATACAGCCAGGAAAACTGACGAGCACAAAATCCACCAGGCATCTTACAGGAATGTGTGCAGTCAGCTCCTGGGAAGGACTGCCGGCTCCCTGAATTCTTGGGCTGGACTTAGTGAACACTGAAAGGAACTGGATTCGCTAAGGCTGAAATGAGATGTTTTTCAATGGCTGCAATGGCTGGTCAGTCAAACTAACTTACGTAAGTTTACAGCTTTAAAAAAAAAAAATTCCACAATGGAAATACAGCGGGTCAATACAGCGGACCACGGCGAGGAAGGAAGAAAAGGAGAAAGGTGAGATTATGAGAGGCTATTAAGTGTGTCACAACACCGACGGGCTGAAGAGGGCGAAAGGGACCGCTTGAGGACTACCAGGCTGTATCCCGAGTAGGGGCGACCCTCAAGCAGGAGATGCGCGCCACGGCACACACACCTGACGACATGACCTCTAGCCCCGCATCAGGTGCAGTACAAGTCCCTGCTCCACTTACCCTACAGCCTGACGGAAAGCGGCCACAAGCGCGCGGCCTCAGTCCCAAAGCCTGGATCACCCGGGAGACAGGTCAGGGAGGGGGCGACGCGCAGCGGTTAGAACCCGTCCCTCGAGGCACAGGGGGTCCCGCCGGGCGCGTGCAGGTCCAACCACCAGCCGGGCTCCGGAGTTCTGCCCTCGCCCGCCTCTACCCCCGGGTGACATTTGGCGCGAGGTCCCCGGCCCGCTCCGCCCGTCCTGCCTCAGTCTCCCGCTTCTTACCTTGCTCGCCGGCGGGAGCGGCGAGAAGGCTCCGCGGCGGCCCGCGGGCGGCAGCTCGCTCCGGGCGAGCTCGCGGGCCGACAAAGGCAGCCCGCGGCTGCTGTCCGCGCCCCCCACGCGCGGCCGGGGCCCGCGGCCAGTCACGAAGGCCGGCCCGCGGCCGGACACTGGCGAACGCGGAGGAGCGGGCCCGGCGGCGCGTCGCCGGCGTCAACGTGCCCGACGTCGGGCGCGTCGGCGCTAGCGTCAGCACCGCCCCGGGGGAGGGCCAGGAGCGCTGCGGCTCCAGTGCGCACGCGCCGCCTCCAGGGGAGCAAGTGGGCGGCACCTCCGGAGTCTTGATTGGCTTCCGAGCTCTTAACCCCGCCTCCGGGCCCCGCCCTCTTGGCCCCGCCCAGACGGTGTTAGCCAAAGTGCTGCTGTTGCGAACCGAAGCAGGAACGCGTTCCTACCCCGTCTAAGTTAACGCTTCAGAGCTGTCCCAGATCCCCTTCCGCACCCACAGAGACACCACAGACATTTTTTCTGGGCGTCTACCAGGCACCAGGCTCTGACACTGCAAACGTCACGCCTACACAATTCTCTAAAATGGGGTCGTTTTAATTCCTATCTAACTGAACAGAAACCCGGGACTTCAACCACCAGCCCAGAGCCTGGATCCGAGCCTACCGCGTCGCCTCGGCCTCGGGGGATCCATGGGACTGTCCCTTCAGCACTTGCTGTCTAACGCAAGACACATTTTCTAGCGCTACCTGTCGTTCCTGGGGAGGCAAAGATGAGCAGCTTCTGATTGGAGGCTTCTGGGCGATGTGTCGGGGGTTGAGGGCAGCTTAGCAGCGAAGTACAACTGGCTCAACTCGCCGCGGTCTCTTTGCAGGCTGCAGAAGAGCCCGCGATTCAGTGCTTGAGCTGCAGAGTGGGAAAATGATAGAGACCTGCCTACAAGGCTGTTAAAAATGGACCATGTGTGAAAAGCAAACGTCTGGGAACCTGCCTGGGAGGCACTCCGCAAGTCTGGGTCATTTTTATCTCTCTTTTTATTGGTATGTGTTTGCAATACATAATAATTACAACCATCTTGGTAAATTGGTACATATACGTATCACGTCTTAAGCATTATGTTTATCTCTGCAGACATGTTAAAGCAGCAAGTCGGGTGTGGTGGTGCACTCCTGTAATTCTAGCACTCTGAGAGGCTGAGGCAGGAGGATCTCAAGTTTGAGCTCAGCCTGAGCAAATTAGCAAGACCCTGTCTCAAAATACAAAATAAAAATGAAGCTGGGCTGGGGATGTGGCTCAGTGTGAAGGCCTTGGGTTCAATCCCCAGAATTGCACCCTCCCCCCAAGGAGGGGGTAGGAATACTGCCTGCCAGGACTTGTAGCTTGCAATAAATGTGCAGCTCATAGATTAAAGTAGATGCTTCTCCTCCCTGAGGAGTACACACTCTTCACAAACCAAATGCCCAGGCATCTTTGCTACTCAATGCTAGCCATTGTTGGAAGTGAGGTAACTAGAGATCCTGAGCTGATCAAGTCTGAGAAAAGACCACGTGGAGGCGGAGGGAGGAGGTGGCTTCTTCCAAAGTGGATTCATTGATTACCTCCATTGTCAGATGACTAAGAACAGCACTCTCCCTGATGGCTTTTCCTGCCTACCGGCGTCCAGTGGGCCTTCTTTCAACCCATCTACTCATTCATTCCTTCAATAAATATTTGGTGAATTATTACACAACCATGAGTGTATCAGTGTGAATGTGCACCTTTCACTCTCAGGTTTTTTTCTATTTTAAAATCATAAAGGTGATGACTCGGTTCTTTGAGGTGCTCTGTGAGTACCTCTTGTCCCTCCTCACACCAGCAATTCCTCAAAAATCCCCCATTGCCTCATCCAGACTCTGGAAACAGCAAAATTTTCCAGCTCTCTTTAGGTGTACCTGCTTAATTCTTAAATATAGCATGGTGCCTCTATTTGCACCATGCTCGTAAAGTACCTGTCTTCTAAGAAATTGACACAATACCAACATGTAGTTCAGTAGGATAGAAAAATTGTTTCATTTCATGAACATTTGTGCAGCATCCAGGAGCCAAGCATGGCCTTGTCTCTGGGAATAATAGTCTGTAGAAAACATCAATTCCACCACAAGTTCACAGCCTTAGTGGGGAGAAGAGAACCAGATCGTTGCAGTGTCCCATAAACAGTGTGTGACTTGGTGCTATGGAGCCACAGATGAGGGAGAAGCAACCCTCCAGCTGGGCTCCTGGGGTCTTCACAGAAGAGGCAACATTGAATTGAATCAGGCTGCAGAGATAGCTCAGTGGTGTAAGTGCCTGCCTGGCAAATGCAAGGACCTGGGTTTGATCCCCGGTACCACATGCTGTGCCAGCACCAGAACCCCAGGTGAACCATGCTGGCCACCGAAACCGGGCATGGTGGCACACGCCTGTAATCCCAGCACTGGGGATGCTGAGACAGGAGGATCACTACAAGTCTGAGCTACGTAGTGAGACCCTGTACCAAGTACATATGTAAATAAAAGATTAGTTAAAAAACAAAACAAAACATTGAACTAGATCTAAAACAATGAGTTTTTCCAACAGAGAAGGGAGAATGCCATTTGATAGAGCTTCAGAAAATCCTGAATTTCATTCATTCATTCATTCATTCACTTACTCATTCATTCATTCCATTCCATTCCCCTAGATTGCAAATCAGTAAGAGGAAGCCATTCTTTCCAGGTCACAGAATGTATGTCTGACATTCACAGTCATATTCGAGATCAACTATCCAATGACAGACAAAATTCTATATCCTGTTTGTGGTGGTAGTTACATGGTTGTAAGCTTTTCTCACAACTCACAGAACCACAGGGCATATAGCTCAGCAGTGTAGTGCCTGCATGGCAAGCACAAGGTCCTGAGTTCAATTGTTGGTACAAACTATCTAATTTATTGGCCACACATGATGGTGCATTCCTGTAATCCCAGAGCTCTGGAGGCTGAGGGCAGAAGGACTTGTGAATTCAAGAGCAGCCTGGACTACAAAGAGAGCTCAAGGACAGCCTGAACTGCACAATGAGACCCTGTCTCAAAAAGACAAAAAGAAGTAAAAAGAAAACACAGAGAATGAGATTAATACTATATATAAAGTATAGTGAAAATTTTTTCATAAGAAAAGAAGTTGCAAACAAGTGTCCATAATACGCACCTAAATTTGAAAAAGAAAACAGTCCATTAGTATTGTTTTTTCTTTTACTATTATTGTCATCTGCTGGCTGAGAATCAATTATTTGTATCTTTTCTTGACATTGAGTGAAGTTATGGTTAGAGTTTGTGCTAGTCTTCTTGTGCTAGTCTGCATTTTTTAGACTCTCTATTGTGCCTGTGCATTATTTTTATCACTTGTAGCCCCCCAAGGGTTATTTTGGTAAAACCTAGACAAGAAAGAACTATAGAAAACTGCTTTCAGGAAACTAACCTGACATTTAGGTGTAGCTACATTACGCCTTGGAGTATTTAGCTGACACACATTTCAGAGACTTTGTCAGGAACATGAAGAAGATAAAAAGTGTTTCCCCTACAAGTCTCGTATTAAAGGGTTGATAAAGGAAATTTGATAGTGAGAAGAGTGAGAAGGCAAGAACTTATTACTATACCTGGGATTCTGCTTTTGTAAATGAAGCCTTTGCAAGGCCTACCTACCTCTACCCTCTGGAAGGCATCTGGATGGTACAGTTAGCCTTTGCTGTGGTTCAGATATGGTCTGTCCCCAACAGGTTCATGTATTAGAAATTTGGTCCCCAGTGAGGTGGGATTCAGAGGTGGTAGGTGAACCTTTAAAAGGTGAGGTCGGGCCAGGGAGATAGCTTAACGGGCTAAGTGCGGGTCTGGTAAGTGCAAGAACCCAAGTTTGATCCTCAGTACCGCATGTCATGCTGCCGTTTTGGCCCCTGAAACCTGGCATGGTGGTGCTCCCCTGTAATCTCAGTGCTGGTGAGGCTGAGACAGGAAAATCACTATGAATCTGAGCTGTGTAGTGAGACTCTGTACCAAATAAATAAAGATTCAAGGAAGAAAAGGTGAAGTCTAGCTGGGCACAGTAGTCTGTACCTGTAATCCCACAACTCAGTGGCTGAGATTGGATAATCACAAGTTCTGGGTCAGCCTGGGCAGTGTAGTGAGAGCCTGTCTTCATGAATTTTTTTTTTCCCGCACAGGGGATTGAACTCAGGCCCTTGCACTTAGCAGAGAAGCGCTTATTCTACTGAGCCATCTCCCTCGTCCCTGAAAATATTTTTTTTAGAAAGGGTTGGGGATATAACTCAGTTGTGGAGAACTTGTGTAGCATGTACAAAGTCCTGGCTCCATCCCTACTACTAGAAAAAAAAAAATTAAAATGCAGCCTCATGGAAGCCTACATTATTGGAGATGGGTCCTCGCAAGAGATTGATACAGTTCTTATGACATCCTAGTGAGTTCTTGTGAGAGTGTGTTATAAAAAAGAGTAAAACTGGCCCTTCCCAACTGTCTGGATTCCTAGCCATTCTGTTCTCTTTAGTGTGTATGTCCTCCACGGTGATGCAGTCGACTGTGAGGCCCTCGCCAGAGGCCTGCAAAACTGAGAAACTTTTCTTTCCGAGGTATCCAGCCTCAAGTCTTTTGCTGTAATAACAGAAAAGGGATAGAAGCAGTCACTGACTGTGAGCTTTGCCAGGACCCCTCTCCTTTCTGGAGATGCAAGCAGCTCCAGAAAGAGGACCCCTGCCAAGGTCAGGGTGCGGCCTGATCTACCGGAAACGTGGGAATGGCGCTGTGACCACACAGCTAGGGAAGGTCTGGGCCGGAAGAGCAGCGCAAGGCCAATGGTGGAGAACGGTGAAGTCCAGAGATGCAGGAGTTGCCCATGGACAGGTGGTTTAAGTAGTTTGTGGCAGAGCTGGGACCCGAGCCCTGGTGGAACCTGGGCCTCTTGATTCCTGGTACCGTCCTCACCTTATTGTGACAAAGGAATGGCTTTTTTAAAGGACAACTGAAATGTAAGTATTTGTCAATGTGTCTCCTTTGCTGCCAAACTAGTCCAGTTACCAGGACAGAGAGCAATCATTCTACTTACTTAACTCATTTCCTCTTCCTCCTCCTCTTCCTCCTCTGCCCCTCTCCTTCTCCCTCCACTTCCTCCT